GTGCGGCGCGTACGCAAGCTGTCTCACGAGAAGCCGTCGTGATCGGAGTGGCGCCGATCATTAGAGGAGAACGGATTACCGTTGCGACCATCGGCAGTGACTTTTGTAGGATTGCTTGCGTTGCTATAAATACATCAAGCAGGCAGCTGCCACAGTCTCGTTATCTCATGCTCTAATAACTTCTGCAGAAAGTCTGAAGCTGCAAAGACGAAGGAAGGTGAGGCTACCAGGCGAGCCAAGGCACTCAGCACCTCTCAAAACAGCAGTGAAACAACAAACAACTTTGCGAAAGTTGTCTGGCCGGCCCATCAAGCGTACAAGTAACAGTTTCGTTTGTTCCTTTCTACACCCATCCCAGGGCCACGGTCTCGCCTTCACCTGCGTCAGCTTCGTGCGCCTCCTCAATGCCCGAGTCCTGCGAGACTCTCATGCTTCGCTGTCTCGCTCCGCAAGGGCAAGCCAGGCTTGCGGCTCCCTGTGGAACTTGGAGTTCCATCTCACATCTGATCTCGATGTAACAGCATGCACCTGTCGGAGCTGCAAGGGTGCCGCACTGATGACACAAATACCATCTCAGCAACACACACCAACGGGGATGGAATAGCATGCGATTCATGTGGTCAGGCTTCGGGGGAAAAACAATCAATGGTCTCAGGTTGTGGCGAGATAAACTCGTGGTGCAATCTGAAATCGCGAGGCCATTACCTAAACTGCATCTCCAAACCCGAATATGAACAACACCTTGCTACTGTCGTTTTCAAGATTTTCACACGCCCTTCATGGATGCAAATTGTGAAAGCAACAGGCAGAAGACACCACAAGCGGGATAGGGACAATACCACCAACAAGTTTGTGGCTTTGGAGTCATCCGAGTTTTTCTTCACCCTACGGGCCCCAGCCTAAGTAAGTTGATCATGTGGACTCCCTATACCAGGTATTCTCTTTTATCCTGTTTGTGTGAATTTCCGTGGTGCGCGGATTTTCACACACCTTTTGGACCACGGTCGAGGCTACAATGTTAGAGCAACTCCGCCTCTGTTCAGCCTGGCCCGAGCCAGGAGCCATCTAGCAAATACCGATCGGCACCCAGCTGCCCCTCCTTTTTTCCTAGCAAACGCCAGTCCGCGCCCAGTCGCACCTTACGAATCTGCACCAACTGGCATCACAACGCACTAAACCAGCCATCCCCCTGTGGACGCACGGTTTCAAGTGCCCGACATTGCCCGACCGACATGCACATCAGTGACACCACATGACATCATGACACGCCAAACCAGCCACCCTCCTGCAGACGCTCGATTCCACAAGCACCCACTCGAAACATACAGCAGTCATCATGACAGGCACCACAGCACACCAAACCAGCCATTCCCCCATGTACAGGCTCCATGGCACAAGCACCCGCTCGGGACGCATAGCAGTGATCATCACATGCATCCAAACCAGCCATTCCCCATGTAGACGGTTGTAGACGCACGATTCCACAAGCAACCCCTCAAGACACACATCCGTGACATCACGTAGTGTAATGTAACGCCAAACCAGCGAGTTTCAATACCAGTATTGGCTGTATAGGGGCTGCAGAAACGTAGGACTGCAGGGAATGGGATGCAGGAAAAGCGGGGGTGCACAGCGGCCTGTAGGAGACTGCAGGCTGCAAGGGCCGCAGGAATGTAGAACTGCAGGCTCTGCGGGCTGCCGGCCGAACCCACATCACCCTAACTTATTAATTTACTTCGTACTGCATCTTAGCACTGAAAAAGTGAAACCTGAAATCCCAGAACTTTGAGAACGAGTGGCCTACAATCACTCTTTGTATCTTGGGGGGGTGGGGTGTTATCAATTGAAATTGTTAAAGAGATTTCCCGAAAGCATCGCGAAGGGTTCTTCCGTGTGGAAGGCCGCAGCTGAGTACATAGATGACAGACATAGAATCAACTTACTTGACTCCGTACTTTACTCTACACTTGATACTTGACTCTACACTTGATACTTACTTACTTACTTGACCCCTATTTTGACTGACTCTCTACACTTGACACTTGACTCTATGATACTTGACTCTACACTTGATACTTGACTGTATGTTATGCTTACGACTTACTTACTTACTTACTTACTTCAATCTACTTACTAACTTACTTGACACTTGACACTGGACTCTATGCTATCTCTATACTTACTTATACTTACTTATACTTACTTATACTTACTTATACTTACTTATACTTACTTATACTTACTTACTTGACTTGCTTAGTTACTTACTTACTTACCTACTTACTTACTTTTACTTACTTACTTACTTACTTACTTACTTACTTGACTCTATGCCTCTACTTACTTGACTCTATGCCTCTATGACTTACTCTCTACATCTCGGTATCTAATTCTCTCTTTTAAAGCCAGGGGGTGGCACCGTTGTCGTCCATCGGGAATGCAACCCTTCACAGGGATTCGCTGCCTCGGGCGTTCAAACGCGAGGTAAAGTTACACATTTTAGGCGCGCGGGTGAACCCTTCACAGGGATTCGCTGCCTCGGGCGTTCAAACGCGAGGTAAAGTTACACACTTTAGGCGCCCGGCGCAACCCTTCACAGGGATTCGCCTCCTCGGGCGTTCAAACGCGAGGTAAAGTTACACTTCTTGCGGGCGCCGCGCAACCCTTCACAGGGATTCGCCTCCTCGGGCGTTCAAACGCGAGGTAAAGTTACACATTTTAGGCGCGCGGGTGAACCCTTCACAGGGATTCGCCTCCTCGGGCGTTCAAACGCGAGGTAAAGTTACACATTTTGCGGTTCCCGCGCAACCCTTCACAGGGATTCGCCTCCTCGGGTGTTCAAACGCGAGGTAAAGTTACACATTTTGCGCGCGCCGCGCAACCCTTCACAGGGTTTGGGCGCAGCTCAACTGCATTTTGCAACCCTTCACAGGGATTGGCATTTTGCAACCCTTCACAGGGATTGGCATGGTCGAGTGTTCGAACGCGAGGTAAAGTTGCATTTTTTGATGTGCATTGAGTTGAATTTTGCAACCCTTCACAGGGATTGGCGTGGTGGAGTGTTCGAACGCGAGGTAAAGTTGCAATTTGTGATGAGCATTGAGCTCAATTTTGCAACCCTTCACAGGGATTGGCGTGGTGGAGTGTTTGAACGCGAGGTAAAGTTGCAATTTTTTATGAGCATTGAGATGAATTTTGCAACCCCTCACAGGGATTGCAAAGGTCGAGTGTTCGAACGCGAGGTAAAGTTGCAATTTTTGGATGAGCATTGAGATGAATTTTGCAACCCTTCACACAGATTGGCGTTGTCGAGTGTTCGAACGCGAGGTGAAGTTACACATTTTGTGGTGCCCGCGGAACCCTTCACAGGGATTGGCTTGGTCGAGCGTTGAAACGCCAGGTAAAGTTGCACATTTTAGGTGCCCCGCGCAATCCATGAGAGGGATTTGCTTTTTCGAGTGTTCTATGTTGTAATCGGTAGGTGTGCAGTAGGTCAATTGGCAACCCCTCAGAGGGATTGGCAAATGTATATATCGATAATATACATATATATATATATATCTATCTATCTATATCTATCTATCTATCTATATATATATATATATATATTTCTATATCTATCTATCTATCTATGTATCTATCTATCTATATATATATAGATAGATATAGATAGATAGATAGACATATATTCATGCGCTTGTACGGCGCGCACGCTGTCTTGCGACGGCGCACCGCGCCGCTGCCTGGCCGACGACTTCTGCAGGCTCGGAAGGGGCTGCATGTTGCAACATCTTCCTATACTGGTGTCTGTTGTTTGCCTGCCTCGTTTGGCTCGAAAGGGAGAAGCAAGGGAAAACGCGTTGCAGCATGTTGCACACATTGCAGCATCTCACTATACACCTAGTACGTTGCCTTGCCTGCCTCGACGCTGTCTTGCGAAAGGGCCGGTGTGGAGGTTTTTCTCATCTTATCAGCTGACAATACTTAGGAGAGCTGTTTGCCCGCCTCGACGCTGTCTTGCGAAAGGGCCGGTGTGGACGACTTTTTCCATCCCATGGCTTTGCTGCTGCGGAAGTTGCGCGCGGGTTATGCCGAGCATGGCGAAGCCTGCATGGCTCCGCACCGAGCTGGACAAGAAAAAACCTGCAGGACCTGCGTGGGCTCGCTGTCGCTGCGTCTGTGCAACAGAAGTCTGCCGGGCGCACTCTCTCCAAAGCGGATCTGTTGGAAGCTCTATCACAGAGCATTGTCGGGGAGCAGGCTTCATGGGGCATCGGCGTTTTTGATGATTGTCCATGTCAGCTTCTGTTGCAGCGAGGCGTCAGTGTCGTCGCCAACGGTGTCTTGCGACGGCGCACCGCGCCGCTGCCTGGCCGACGACTTCTGCAGGCTCGGAAGGGGCTGCATGTTGCAACATCTTCCTATACTGGTGTCTGTTGTTTGCCTGCCTCGTTTGGCTCGAAAGGGAGAAGCAAGGGAAAACGCGTTGCAGCATGTTGCACACATTGCAGCATCTTACTACACCTAGTACGTTGCCTTGCCTGCCTCGACGCTGTCTTGCGAAAGGGCCGGTGTGGAGATTTTTCTCATCTTATCAGCTGACAATACTTAGGAGAGCTGTTTGCCCGCCTCGACGCTGTCTTGCGAAAGGGCCGGTGTGGACGACTTTTTCCATCCCATGGCTTTGCTGCTGCGGAAGTTGCGCGCGGGTTATGCCGAGCAGGGCGAAGCCTGGCTCCGCACCGAGCTGGACAAGCAAAACCTGCAGGACCTGCGTGGGCTCGCTGTCGCTGCGTCTGTGCAACAGAAGTCTGCCGGGCGCACTCTCTCCAAAGCGGATCTGTTGGAAGCTCTATCACAGAGCATTGTCGGGGAGCAGGCTTCATGGGGAATCGGCGTTTTTGATGATTGTCCATGTCAGCTTCTGTTGCAGCGAGGCGTCAGTGTCGTCGCCAGGTGGGATGTTTTGTGCTTTGAAGTGAAGCAGTTCTTGCTGTCAGGCCGATGAACCGGCGTCGCAGCAAAGGCTGCAGGAGTCGCGCGCGGGTTATGCCGAGCAGGGCGCAGCCTGGCTTCGCCCCGAGCTGGGGAAGCACAGTAAGGATGAGCTGGTTGGGCTTTGTGTCGCTGCGGATGTGCAACGACACGCAGCCGGGCGCACTCTCTCCAAAGCGGAGTTGTTGGAAGCTCTATCAGAGAGCATTGTCGGGGAGCAGGCTTCATGGGGAATCGGCGTTTTTGATGATTGTCCATGTCAGCTTCTGTTGCAGCGAGGGGTCAGTGTCGTCGCCAGGTGGGATGTTTTGTGCTTTGAAGTGAAATAGTTCTTGCTGTCAGGCCGATGAACCGGCGTCGCAGCAAAAGCTGCAGGAGCTGCGCACGGGTTATGCCGAGCAGGGCGCAGCGTGGCTTCGCACCGAGCTGGACGAGCAAAACCGGCAGGAGCTGGCTGAGCTCTGCATCGCTGCGGATGTGCGACAGAAGTCAGCCGGGCGCAAGCTCTCCAGAGCGGAGTTGTTGGAAGCTCTATCACAGAGTATTGTCGGGGAGCAGGCTTCATGGGGAAGTGGCGTTCTTGAGGATTGTCCATGTCAGCTTCTGTTGCAGCGAGGCGTCAGTGTCGTCGCCAGGTGGGATGTTTTGTGCTTTGAAGTGAAATAGTTCTTGCTGTCAGGCCGATGAACCGGCGTCGCACCAAAAGCTGCAGGAGCTGCGCACGGGTTATGCCGAGCAGGGCGCAGCGTGGCTTCGCACCGAGCTGGACGAGCAAAACCGGGAGGAGCTGGCTGAGCTCTGCATCGCTGCGGATGTGCGACAGAAGTCAGCCGGGCGCAAGCTCTCCAGAGCGGAGTTGTTGGAAGCTCTATCACAGAGCATTGTCGGGGAGCAGGCTTCATGGGGAAGTGGCGTTCTTGAGGATTGTCCATGTCAGCTTCTGTTGCAGCGAGGCGTCAGTGTCGTCGCCAGGTGGGATGTTTTGTGCTTTGAAGTGAAATAGTTCTTGCTGTCAGGCCGATGAACGTGCGTCGCAGCAAAAGCTGCAGGAGCTGCGCACGGGTTATGCCGAGCAGGGCGCAGCGTGGCTCCGCGGCGAGTTGCGGAAGCACAGTAAGGATGAGCTGGCTGAGTTCTGTGTCGCTGCGGATGTGCAACGACACGCAGCCGGGCGCACTCTCTCCAAAGCGGAGTTGTTGGAAGCTCTATCACAGAGCATTGTCGGGGAGCAGGCTTCATGGGGAATCGGCGTTTTTGATGATTGTCCATGTCAGCTTCTGTTGCAGCGAGGCGTCAGTGTCGTCGCCAGGTGGGATGTTTTGTGCTTTGAAGTGAAATAGTTCTTGCTGTCAGGCCGATGAACCGGCGTCGCAGCAAAAGCTGCAGGAGCTGCGCACGGGTTATGCCGAGCAGGGCGCAGCGTGGCTTCGCACCGAGCTGGACGAGCAAAACCGGCAGGAGCTGGCTGAGCTCTGCATCGCTGCGGATGTGCGACAGAAGTCAGCCGGGCGCAAGCTCTCCAGAGCGGAGTTGTTGGAAGCTCTATCACAGAGCATTGTCGGGGAGCAGGCTTCATGGGGAAGTGGCGTTCTTGAGGATTGTCCATGTCAGCTTCTGTTGCAGCGAGGCGTCAGTGTCGTCGCCAGGTGGGATGTTTTGTGCTTTGAAGTGAAATAGTTCTTGCTGTCAGGCCGATGAACCGGCGTCGCAGCAAAAGCTGCAGGAGCTGCGCGCGGGTTATGCCGAGCAGGGCGAAGCCTGGCTCCGCACCGAGCTGGGGAAGCAGAGTCGGGATGAGCTGGCTAAGCTCTGCGTCGCTTCGGATGTGCGACAGAAGTCAGCCGGGCGCAAGCTCTCCAGAGCGGATCTGTTGGAAGCTTTGTCGCTGGGCATCGTGCAGGAGGAGGTATGACGGGGGGAAGGAGGGCGTGTGTGTGTGTGTGTGTGTGTGTGTGTGTGTGTGTGTGTGTGTGTGTGTGTGTGTGTGTGTGTGTGTGTGTGTGTGTGTGTGTGTGTGTGTGTGTGTGTGTGTGTGTGTGTGTGTGTGTGTGTGTGTGTCTGTGTGTGTGTGTGTGTGTGTGTGTGTTTCCGTGCTTACAGGTGAATATCGAGGACCTCTTCACGGCAGATGGCTTGCGGCGCTTGGCAGGAGAGCTCGGGGAAAAGGCACCACCTCGAATTCGGGCGCGGCTTCGTGTCTTGCGCTTGCGGGCCGACGGACCCTGTCTGCTGCGAGTGGCCGAAGATCTGGGTGTGGCGTTTGAGAACGTGAGCAAGGAGGTCTTGATTCAGCGGATTGTCATGGCGTTGTGCCCCCTGCGCGTTCCGAGTGCAGACGGTGACATCAAGTACCTAATGTGGAGATGCCTCTACGCGGTTTGCAAAGCCGGAGCACGGGATGCTGCAGCGGTGGTTGCAGCTGCTTCCGACCTCTTCGAGGATGCCAACGTGCTCCAATCTGCGGTTGCCTACTCCTTGGACATCACGGCAGAATCATTTTCCGCGAGACATCTGTCTTCCGATGTGGAGAGAGATCTACTTGCGCAAAAGATTCTGGACAGTCTGCAGCATTGGTCACAGGTCGACACGGCGCTGTCTCGAGAAGTGAGTTCTACGTGGGAGGTTGCTGTTGCCGGCTTGAGAGACGCGACTGTGCCGTGGCTGACTTCTTCCATGCAGCATTGTCTTCTTGCAGCCGTGTTGGAAGATCACGTGGATCAGCGGACAGGCGAGCATTATCGCAAATCACGATCTTCGTGTAATATCTTGGATGCCGTGTTGCTGTCGTGCGTTGTGCGTGTGAGTTCGGGAAACAGGTTGGTGGCGTCTTGCAGATTGCCTCGAGCGAGTGGACCCCGTGGACGTTGCTCGCCGGCTCTGGTATCTGGCCAACCTCGAGGCGGAGCCGCGAGCGTGTGCAACGGACGGGTACGAAGATCGCCAAGAGGTGTTGGAGGCAACCCGCGCGAAGCCGTCCCGAAACATAGAGAGTCTGGGACGTGATCGTGCATGGGGTCATGGACATAATGAGGATTAAGTTGGACTGTAGCTTCATGTGCGCACGCGTTGCTGTGCGTTTCTCGCTCATGTTTGTTTCACCGGGTCCTGGCAGGCTGTCCTGAGCATTATCCAGCACAAGTTTCGGACTCGCAAGTTCGATCGGGCCGATACCACACTGCTTCGGGGCTGATGCGTGGGTATGGTTGGGAGCGACAAGCACAGCCGGACGAACCCTGCTACTGGTACCAGACCTTCGGGCACGTGCGGAAGTCAGAAGACTGGTCGCAATTTGCTTGGTTTTTGGTGACGGAGCTGTTGCACCCGCTGGCTGGCATCGGCATTCGTGACTTGCACAATCCTAACACAGTGTCGGCAGCTAGGGCTAGCGAGCAAGGCATAGATAAAGACACGCTCACCTTGCGGAATCAGCTTCTGGACTGGCAGACGACTGAAGGGTGTTACCGTTTGCCTTCGCGAGAGGAGAATCCAGTCCTGGCCGAGCGTGTTGAAGCGTACTACCCTGACGGTGCCACTGCGAGGGCTCGGGCCATGAGAAAGGCTTATCCGCCGGATTTCGATCCGTTGTGCTGGCTGGCACTTGACTGCCTTGGTGATGGCTCGGAGGCGCTAGACGGCATTCTCTGGCGTTCGGCCGTGGAGCGGGCAGTGCTGTTCGCCGTCCCCGGCTGGTGTGAGTCCTAGTGAAGTGGGGTGTTTCACTTCGGAACGGTGTCTTCCCAAATCCCGAATGGCTGCACTGCCTTCCGCTGCTGGACTCCCGGTGCCACGAGTCGCGCAGCAGCTCAGCGAGGTGGACCCGTTTGTGGTATAGGATAGATCTTAAATCCCTAATCATCCTTTGAGAGACCTGTGTTGTGACTGCCGCTTGGGAATGTTTGCCAGATGCCGCCGGATTTCTTCTTCTGAGATAGTATACCTTGGGTTGATACACAGGGTGTCACCGAAGCCTGGGGCTCTCGATGACTGTCTGCAGCTAGAATCAATCTTTCTAGAGGAGGCTCTGGACCACCGTGATCCCTGCATTAGTCCTACTAGGCCCTCGTGGATTATCCGGTGTGAGTAGACACGAAATAAGGACCCCTAAGCCCGTGGCGTTCCCCTGGAGTCTGTTGGGTCGGCTAAGAAACATACGCTGGCCTGTTGTGGTTTGAGATAAAGAGCGAAACCCTAATTCCCTACTACTTTCAGAGACCAGTGTTGCGACTTCCCTTTGGGGATGTTGGTCGGCTGCCGCTATGTTTCTTCTTCCATGATACTATACCCTGGGTTGGTATAATGCGTGCTATGGAGGCTCGGGGCTCCCGATGAACCTTTGCAACTACAATCAGCAGTTTTCATGAGGCTCCGAACCGCCGTAATCCCTGGGATGACCTCTCCCGGCACCTCCTCAGGCCGCGCGGCCCTTGACTCCACGGTGAGCCGTGCGGGCCGCGAATTCTTCGCTCTGGCTAGGTTGCACCGTTGCTTGCTTGCTTCGACGCTGTCTTGCGAAAGAGCGAGCAAGCAACGTGGCGACCTACTCTCACTGTAACTCTATGACGTTATGACTTATGACTCATGGACTCCATGACTCTTGACTGTATGTGCCTCTCGAGGTCCAGGTCGGGCTATGAGCCCTCACGCTATGGGGATCTCGATTAAGCGTTCCCACACATAGAGCATAGAGTGAACTACATCGAGTCAAGTGCATGGTACATAGATGACTCCATGACTCTGCGAGTTGATCTCACTATGACTCTATGACGCTATCTCACTGTAACTCTATGACTTTATGACTCATGACTCATAGACTCCATGACTCTTGACTGTATCTGCATCTCGAGGTCCAGGTCGGGCTATTAGCCCCCACGCTACGGGGATCTCGATTAAGCGTTCCCACACATAGAGCATAGAGTGAACTACATCGAGTCAAGTGCATGGTACATAGATGACTCCATGACTCTGCGACTTGATCTCACTATGACTCTATGACTTTATCTCACTGTAACTCTATGACTTTATGACTCATGACTCATAGACTCCATGACTCTTGACTGTATCTGCATCTCGAGGTCCAGGTCGGGCTATGAGCCCCCACGCTACGGGGATCTCGATTAAGCGTTCCCACACATAGAGCATAGAGTGAACTGCATCGAGTCAAGTGCATGGTACATAGATGACTCCATGACTCTGCGACTTGATCTCACTATGACTCTATGACGCTATCTCACTGTAACTCTATGACTTTATGACTCATGACTCATGGACTCTATGACTCTTGACTGTATCTGCATCTCGAGGTCCAGGTCAGGCTATGAGCCCTCACGCTATGGGGATCTCGATTAAGCGTTCCCACACATAGAGCATAGAGTGAACTACATCGAGTCAAGTGCATGCTACATAGATGACTGCATGACTCTGCGACTTGATCCCACTATGACTCTATGACGCTATCTCACTGTAACTCTATGACTTTATGACTCATGACTCATGGACTCCATGACTCTTGACTGTATCTGCATACGATCCTACACACTGGATCTATCACATAGCCCCACACTCTTCGCTGATGATGCTTTCGGGCCAATTGTCTTCTAGTTTCTTAGGGGGCTATATCTGGGGATCGGGGAGGGGGGGCTAGCTATTGTCAGGGGAGGGGGTTAGTTTTTCAACGAGGAAACAGCATGGCAGTTACTACTCTTGCGATGCAACTGTGCCCAAACTCAGGGAATATGCTTCTCCACAGCAAAACCGTGTGACAGTTACCCCGTTTGGAAAGCGATGGTGCCAAGACCCAAGGGAAACGCACATTCCGAAACAGGTCGCCAAAAGACTGAAAATCATAAGAAGCAGCGTTTCACATAAGTTAAAAGACAGATCAAGAAATGGAGCATGTTCAGTTTCTCTCATCTTGTCTCTCTGTCTCTCCATGGACAAAAAAGCGCGATGCGAATAGACTATTGTGTTCTCAACTTGCATTTGCGAGCACGCTTGCTTGGATCTCTCCTTGCGCAAAGAGACTTTTTCATGTTAAGGCCGCGAGATGCCGCGAGCACACTTGGACCTCTCTCCGTGCGCAAGGAGTGAGACATGTCCATGCGACGCGACCGGCTGCTGCGTTCCCACGGTGTGAGCACTGTTGGATCTCTCGCCGTCCGCAATGAAGACACATGCTCACGTCAAGCGACTGCTGTGTTCTCATGCCAAGAGCACATTTGGATCTCACCGTGCGCTATAAGAGATACGAAAAGGCTCCGGCGATGTGGCGTTGTCTTTCTCCGTGTTTAAAGAGACATGTTCAAAGACGACAGCGATCTCGCGCAACCCCCTGGATAGATGGCTTTTCATTGCCCATGCCAGTTCCAGCGTCTACAGTCAGCCACACGCACACATCCCTTGAGCTCTCGGCAGCCCGTATTCCGAAATTTAGTCACCGTGCGATTGCTGGTTGCATTAAACTGTAGCCCACACAATGAGGCACCCGCCTGGAGATGCACCCTGTCACCTCGGTGGCCCAATAATTAGGACATGATTTCGGGGCCGCGCAACCGCGTCTAAGATCGCGGCTCTCTGGCCATCCAGGCGCCTCCAAAAGT